GAAAGAGTTAAAGCCATCTGCCTGAAAGCATTGTGTAAAACATACACACAGTGTTGGGGAAATAAGCCAATTATGTGTGCTTCACAGGAGGTGGGGGACTGACCTTTGTGTATAATTAGTTCTTTTATTTAAAGCAAAGATTTTGAATAGAATAACTAATTAGCTGTCATAAATGGCAAATTGAAGATTTTGGCCAGATTCCTTGGGGAGTGTGGGAGAACGTCCCTCCTCCCACCCCGCACTGTACGCTCTGGCTCTCCTCATTAGGGTTGTTTTTAGTTCTCTGCAGCGGTAATGAGGAGTGCAGTGGCGGCACTTCTCGGAGCCCCCTCTAACAAGGCATGAAATGCAGGTGGAGGAGAACCGCCTTCAGCTCCTGCCGCTTTCACTCAGCACATGTGGGTGTAGCAGAGGGCTTGGGTGGGAGAGGGGGAGGCCGAGGGGGGCTGTGGGAAGTTGGAGAGGGGTCTGAAAAGTCCTGGTGATATCACCTGTGTTTTATTCTCTGGACTTGACTGTATAAAATACAGGCAAGCTGCAAAGCCTCAAGGCATATATCATTAGCTAGCAGTCCCACATTACTCTTTCAGACCAATTAACCTTTAGAGTTGCATTAAAGAAATTAGGTGGTGAACTTCCATGCTTTCAGAGGGGGCCAGAAGCTCTCTTGCAGACCAGAGCACTGTGGAGCCGTACGCCATAGGACCATTGCAGATAACTGTTATTTAAAAGGTCTACCATTTATAAAAAGTTCCCAGGCTCTCTTGGAAACAAGGCTTTATGAACAGTGCCCTTAGAGGAACTGCAGCTGATTGCCATGTGAATAGAAATATCAGTAAAGTGGCTTAGAAAAATTTAGAGTTGTACTTAGTGGACACTTGTGTTATAAAGCCAGCTGAATAATTTTACAGAAAGGCCCCGACTGAGAAGATACGGGCTGATTAAAGCTAGTTTGTCTGACTGTGAATAGAGGTAGAGTTTAGATTACTCACTACAATAACAGCCTCTTTAGACACAACCATAAATTTCAGTATGTCCAGAGGTGGTGTCTATAATTTTTTAATGTGCATTGGAGCTCTGAGCACTCAGAACAGGTTTTGTTTTGTATTTACCAGCAGCAAGTCTATTAAGTTGTAAAGGGCAGAGAAGGGAGTGCAGGTAGCCAAAAATAGAAAGGCTTCATCTACTGTTTCTAAGAAAAGATAGTGATGGATGGCTAGCAACAGGAGAGGAGAGAGCAGCTTGATGGTACTTTCAGAATTTGGTAATCAATCAGCATTCCCTTTGTGATCATGTATTTAAACGGGTGAGTGTCCAGCTGTTAATTTTTCTGCTTCTGCAACACTACTTCTCATTTTGTAATCCTTGCCCACAGAGCACACATGGAATTTGTTGAAGGTGAGCCCTCTGTTTCTTGACAGCCCCAGTTAGACACCATATGCCCCTGATCAAATTGAAGTAGGTATCTTGCCATTTTTTGGTAAGTACTGGGGAAAAAAGTACATAGAGAAATAAAGCAGCATCGCAGTCTTGCAGTGGGGCAATTTCCAGAATGAAAGAGCAGCTCTCCGGGTGGTTTCTGCCTGCAAAGCCCAGACTACTTGGGGTTTTCTGGAAGGGAGGCAGGAGTAGAAAAGTGGGGTTTGATGTTGGCTGTGTCCTCTCTCTGCAAGCCTCCGACCGTGAAAGGGGTTAAGCTTCTGAGATGCTGCTCTCTTGTTGCTTGGAAATGACACGGCAAACACTCGTGGAACCCTTGCTGATCAAGTTTGGCAGTTTTTGAAATTTTGTTTCACGCCTTGCCTACTGTGTCAACTCGCCAGCTAATTGCAGCTGCAACTTTCTGTAGTGGCGTGTGTGCTCTGTGCAGATCGGTTGGTTGGGATGTCAGAGGGAAGCCTCACAGACCAAAATGTAATTTCAAAACACTGAACCTGACCAGCAGAGGCTGACCTTGCTCGTTATTATCTGAGTGGGAATAGCAGCTTTGAACATCGTATGATCTCTGAAATGGTACCTTTTTTCATTATTTTTTTCTGCTGAACACTGACCAAATATATAGCTTTTTTTCCTTGCTTAAGGTACTGTTTAAAAATATATATATCTGTTCCTTCGCTAGTTATTAGAAGAAAATCAAAGTGCTACATTCCTCTTATTCACGGAAGCCTCTCATAAGACAATGGTGTGCTTGCAATAGCGGGGAACTGAGATGGCCGCGGTGAGTGAGGGCTGCCAGGGCCACAGATGGAACAGGGACTGCCACTACAGCCGGCCCACAGCTGTCCAGGCCTGCTTGCCACCTCAGGAGACCCTCCTAACCTGCCAGCCTGCCTTTACCAACCAAACCAGCCTCTCCTAATGGTCCAGACAGGGTTTCATCCCTGTGCAACTGCCCTTGCGCTTGACCGTGCTGCTGTTACCATGGACCCCTCGCTCTGGGTGAGGGCAGTTGTTAACTCTGAAAGGGCACTGGTTTCAAAAGCACTTGAAGGTTTTGGGAAGTCCCAAGATCTTGTATTTCTGAATCACAGAGATGATCTCAAACCCCACCCATGCAGCAGTTCTCATGAGAGATGGTTTCAGGTGCTCTGGTTATCTAGAGTCTGCATTTTGAAATCTGCAGCACCTCCAGACGCAGGATCCTCAAGTTACCTAGACAAACCTTGCCAAAGAGTTGTGTGATAGTCCTCCTTGTAAGAAATCATCTTCTGCCTGTAAGGGTACACAAATCACATTTAGAGAGCCCGTGTTGGGGGCGGGTAATGACTCACTGGTGTCTAGGGCTCCTATCTTAAAATACAGTTCACACATCTAGGTCTTAGTTTTCATCGATGCAAACTGTTTTCTTTCATTATTGGCACTGATCTTGCACAGTTTGCAAAGGCAAATTCACGTATGCTCCCTTCTCTGCCTCAGAATAAGGTAGTCTCTTCTCACGATATGCTGTTTTCCTGGCATGAAGTTGGAGAGAGCATGGGATGGAGGCTTTCCGTTTTCTGGAAAAGAAATTACCCAGAAAGTGAAGCTTCTCTTTGCTCCTGAAATGTACTTTGGGGGGAAAAAAAAAAAAAAGGTGCCATGTCCAGAACCATGGGCCCACTTCCCTCGTTCTTGTAAGAAACTCTCACCAGGAGCACAGGGCTTCTGCAGTCTGACCTCCAGCACTCACAGCGTATTACACTTCTGACACTTCCCTGTCTTTTCCCTCTTTCCAAACGTGCAGGTGTTTCTCTGTGGCTGTGTACTTAGAATTTCTCTCAGGAGCGTTATGGGTTGCGTATGTGGCAGTCAAACACAGATTGAAGTTTTCACTTATTTATTGCATGTTTGCCACTGGCGTCAAAAGTTTGCTGGTATCGACGTTGCAAGCGGTATTGAGTGTGCCGCAGCGAAGACCAGGAGGGCTCTTTAAGCCTTAAGAGTTTTTGAATGTTACTTGACCTGTCTCCGTGCTGCTGAGACCACTTTGATAACAAATGGATCAATACCTTGCTGTTTGTGTAGAGGTGTCTTAAGTGCTATTGTCGTCTGCTTGCAGCTCTGACAAAGCAATTATTACTGTAGGAGTGGTGGGTTTTACATGTGCTGAGCATTAGCCACTGTCAGGTCACCCTGGCTTTTAAGGAAAGCAGCAAATGTCACTTATTACAGTGGCACTGACTCAGTCCTCTCTGTTTAAGGGACTGTTAATAATTCCATTATCAAGCTGCTACTTTCTGGGACATACAGCGCTTCCTACAGAAATGGTGGCTTAACTTTCTGTAAGAGTATATAACCAGTGACACCTGCTACTGTAGCCAGAGCATCCTCTCTCATCTTCTCTGCCTTGGTTAAGCCACAGCATGCTTGTTACAGGCCCAGCATTGTCATTTTTAGTGACTGGCACTAGTAGAAATAAAAATCAGTAATAAAGTAAAATCAAGGCTCTAGAGAAAATGGGATTCTGGCGTCTCAGTCAGTTTGTTTCTTCTTTCATCATTTCCTGTCCCCTTCCTCCCTCACAGTACAATCCTTGTTTATTTTTCCACCTTGCCTATTGACTCCATAAAATCCTGTCCTGCCTCCCTTTTAAACTGAGAAGGGCGACCGGCCTCACACCCCGGTCAGTGCGCACCACGGAAGGCACTAGCTGCTTGGAGAAGAGAAAAAAGCTGGAGACAGCAGTGTGAGGAAGGTGGTCACAGTAAGTCTCCACCAGCCTAGTGACCTGTCACCACCTCATACTCAGCTAGCTTGTGCTTGCTTTGCCATCCCAGCAGGGGCTTCCACAGAGGAAAAAATCTCCTGGCTTTTTACTGCCTTATCCAGTGGTACAAGAGGAGAAGGAAAGCTCTGCTTTGCTTAAGGACCGTGGCTTCACCAGTGGTAGAGAGGCACTGCTTGGGTTATTCTCAGCAGTCCTCAAGGGCTTTTGAATAACATTTATTTCAGAAGAGCCCCTGGGCTGCTCTAGTTTTCACTGACCAGCAAGGTTCACAAGAGAGGAAAACAGTGGTGTACCACATCTTTTTATACCCATTCCCCTCCTTTCCCCATCAAGCTTGATCCAGCCAAGATGTTGGACTGGGGGTACATACAGTGGTGGCCCTTCTGATCTTTGTAATTGCCTATGGCAGGTAATTAACAACACAAGGGTACTGGTAACAAGGGAAAAAGCAAATGCTGAAATTGCAGGCAGTTTATTCTGCTGCAAGAAGTTAATTAAAAAAAAGTCTGGTGCTTTCTGTCAGCCCTACCCTTAGGAAAAAAGGGCTGTGTTCCTGCAAGTGTTGCACTCCCACTTAACCCACGACAGCATGAAGTTTAAATTCCTTTGACTATCAGCTTCTTGCAATGTGAACTCCTTGTAATGAAATCAGCAGTAGTATTTGCTCACAGAGCTACCTATAGCCCACAGTGCTACCACAAACGCAGGCAACCTATTGGAGCTGTTTGGCTATCTTCTAAACTAAATGCTTTGTTTGCGTTGCAGGTGTGCCGATGTTATCTGTACAGCCCAAAGGGAAGCAGAAGGGCTGTGCTGGCTGCAATCGGAAGATCAAGGACCGGTACCTGCTGAAGGCTCTGGATAAGTATTGGCATGAAGACTGTCTGAAGTGTGCCTGCTGTGACTGTCGTCTTGGAGAGGTTGGATCAACTCTTTACACAAAAGCAAATCTCATTCTTTGCCGCAGAGATTACCTGAGGTAAACAGAGGAACGTACCGTGGGCTCTTCCCAAAGCCTCTCAGTGTGCTGCCAGCTGTTTGTCTTTCTAAACCTCTACTATGAAAACACGTACTTGTGCATGGTCAGCCGTGCCCAGAAGAGGCTGGAGTTTCTTCCTCTGTCTAAACATGGCTTTTTATTTGCACTTTATGTATTTTGTAGTCAGAGAGGTGGAATCCTATTTTTAGGCCAAGGTAGAAGATGGAGGGCATGACTTAACTCTTTGTTATTGTTAACCAACAAGAACAAACAGTGCTTGCTGAGAAAATTAGGAAAAGACTTAATTCTTCTTGCATTTCATTGATGTTATACTTCTGCATGTTGACTGAGACCTGACCAAACCTTTACGTTTTCTTTTTCAGTAGTAGCTTTTAGATAGACTTCTAGTGCTTATATTGAGTAAGGTTCCTCCCAAGGGGCTCTTGTCTCTTCACTAAGTAAACAGAGTAAAACACTCCAAAATTATAGATCAACTTCAAAAATTTTTTCTTCTTGAGAAAGTCTGCAGAGACCATCACTAACTCCGAGTTAGAACTAACCTGTCAGCGTGTGTCTGCAATACCCAACTACACATGGGATTTTTTGCTTGGTGTGTATGGGGGGTTTGTACAAAGTACTTTATATAAACAAAAATGACTTTTAATAAGACAGTAGGCCTAATGCAGGCATTCTTATGAGGATCACATTGCAAACACTCCTGAGTTTTGCTTTGTTTTGCCTTTGGAAGCATGTACGTGATCTCCAGCTAATGTGTGCGTTTTCTTTTTTTTTTCCCCTAAAACACTGATAGCATTTCCTATGAAACTTCAGCCAGCAAACACATCTGAAGCCAAACAAAACCAACACGCTGGTTTAAGATAGGCAGGTAAAATGCTGTCTAACCTTGTGGTGTCCAGAGGCTGGCTAGAGTAGTGTCAATGATCAGATGCTTCACGTGTGTCAATTTAAAACATATTCCTGAAAATCTTTAGTAAATATTTTCTTAGTAAACTTGAACAAGCAAGTTTCTCTTTCTGAAGATGAGAGATAAAACTGAGCTGAATAGAAGAAATGTCTATTAGCTGCCATATGGAAGCTGCCACCTTGCCTTTCAGCCAGGCAGTGTACCAGAGCACCCTGCCAACGTGAGGATTTTTACTCCTGTTTGAGCTGAAACTCTCCAGGGCACACATGAACTATCTCAGCTGAAATTCTGCCACAGAAGCATTAATTGCAGGTCCACACTGGGTTAGGTGGGATGTGACCCCAAAATGTAAGTGAGGAGGAGCTTGGGTAAAGGTGGAACACATCTGAAGGGGAAAAGACAGGATAAGGAGCCTTTAGATAGGTGGAAAGGGTGTGGTGAGGAAAGAGTTGACTACCTTCACTGTCATGAAGTAGTTTTTGTACCTTGCTTAACTCTGAGTATTTACTAATGTCATAAGTCACTTGCTCTGGAAGGATCCTTAACCCTGCCTGTGCTAAGCTGAAAAAACTGAGCTCCAGAAGGTTCTTTAACCCCAAATTAGCATTTTGGTTCTTCACTGATACTCCAGTTCAGTTGTACTCTCTCTGTTTTGTGGATGTAATTCTGATGTGTCAATGAAGAACATAACAGCTTTAGATCTTCCCTTGTTGAGGACTGCATAATTTCTTCTCATCATCGTATCACAATTGGGTCATGCTTGATACTGGTCACAAGGACCCCCAAAACCTCTCAGGAGAGCTTCTTCCAGGAATAGTCTTCCTTCCAGAAAGCATAGGCTGCGTTAGTTTTTGGGGTGTTTCTTTATCTAGTTTAGCATTTCTTTATCATGTTTGGACCCTGCTTGCCAAGAAATCCGGGTCTCTCCATCAATCATCCTCATTATTTATCACTTCTCTAGACTTTGTCATTTGTGCACTTCATAAACACTGTTGTGTTTGCTGTTTGGGTTTTTTTAAATCTAACCTGAAAGACAGATATTCAGCATTATTCTACATGTTACAGAACCCTCCTAGAAATACTCAGCTGGGTGGTGATTCCCATTTGCATTTGCTTTTTGAGACCTATGAGCTACCCCATGTTTTGTCCATTTAATGAGCACCGTATTGATTTCGGTTTGTTCTAGTTTCATAACAAAAATAATGTGTGGCATCAAATCAGACATGTTAAAGTGCCAAAGGAGAGCAGTATTGATGCTGTTAAACTTAGAAGAACCTGTTTGTCACTGCATTTGTAGAGCATTTCTTTCTTTCCTTGGTTTATCCTGAGCGTGCTGCTTTGAGCTGGGAAAGCTTAATCTGTGATCTTCTCACTGGCCTCCAGATGGCACAACTTTCTGGGGCACACCAGAAAGAAACCATGAGTTGCAGACCCCAGGAAGCAGCCCATATCCCATCTTTGAGAAGAGAGGGCAATTCATGACATAAAACATGGAAGGCAACAGTTGGGGCTAGTGTTTGACTGTGTCCATGCAGCTTCTGTCACAGTAGCTATCAAGCATGGTCTCTGAAACAAACTTGTTCCGTGCCTGAAAGATGTCTTGTGGCCCCTCCGACTGCATTTGTTGGGTCAGAATAATCCCTGGCCCACCAAGGGGGGAGTCTGTTGGTATTTGTGCAGCACAGTTAAATTGCGGAGGGGAGGCTTATGTGACCTGTGCTTTAAATATTGTTCCCCTGTCTGCATTTAGTCCGTTATAGCAGCTTTGACAATTAGAAATATTTCTTACTTGTTTTTGTTGGGAAGAACACTATCATTGTCATATGCTAGGACATTTGACCAAGACTTGGGTAGGAAAGAATAACATTAATTCTGTTACGCAGTTGTTAACTAGCGTTCAACCATTTAGCCAGCTTTACAGCTGCAATGTTTTGTGTTCTCGCTAACAAGTAAATTTAGGTCTATACTATTTTTCGGGGCATTCTGCCAAACTCCTGGGTTCTGTTCTCCTGATGCTAGGGAACCCTTTCAGGGTCCTCGGATAGGAATAAGGGCATTACTATGCAGTCCCATGTTTTATGGAAGTATAAAGCAATTTTTTTTTACTTTAAAACATTTTCTGTTGCCTTCTACGCATAATATTTCTTTCTCTCTCAATTTTAACCAGTAGTTCTATTAATAGAAGGAACTAAAGTTGCCATCACCATCTTCTCCACTGTCTGTTCGCTCCTGGTAATTTGAATTTTTATTCTTGAAGAATTACCCATTCCCATCATTATATAATTCGTTCACTTTAATAGTTTTAAAGCCTCTATCCACATCTTTTTTTTTTTTTCTCATTAAACAACTCACAGTATTTGTTCTACTAGTCAAATTTTAGCAGAATTCATTCCTAAAAATAAGTTTTCATACTTCAGACTGTACTCACACCATAAAGGGAGTACTTTATCTGGCAGACAGTCAGAGGAGTTTATTGTTGGCCACTTCCTCTGTATGCCTTTGAATAAGAACAGGGTGAACATTGCACTGACATTTAGTAGGTCAACCATCACATAAACAATTGAAAGCTAGACTGATTCTGCACCCATAAGGGTAAATATATGCATCTTTTACATCTGAAGTCCAAGAGGAATACTGCTGTATAATGACAACAAAAAAAAATTGGTGCTTCATAATCTCTTTATAGGCCAACGTTTCTTTGAATTTGCTTCTGAGATGATTGTGTTGTTCCAGCATATGTGCTTTGTTACCTGGTGAGAGGGGCTTTCCCCTCCCCTTGCTCGGTCTCCACCTACGAGCCTGCAGCTGCCCATGGCTGCAAAGGTCCAACCATTACTGCCCAGCACCAGGCTCCCGCTTGCCTCATCGCTGCGGAGGCAGTGATGTATAGGTGCTCTCCTATACACAGAAAGGGATCCTGGAATATTTTGGACGGCTTGGAAATTCAGCTGAAGCGGTTGTTAACTTGCAGGTCTGGGACCCTGTGTGTGCCACCCCTCCTGCAGGCAGGTGTCGTCGGGCCACGGCCACCGCAGGGATCAGGGACAGGGATGATCTTCCGGACTTCTGTCACCAGCGTGGGGCAGAGCGCTGGGACAGGAGCACGGCTGGCTCCCACCCCGCCACGTCGGTCTTGCTTTGGAGCCGGCTTCGTCCGAGGCGTTGGCAGTGCGGTGGGCTGCCGGCCGCGTGCACTGGTCCTCAGTGGGCTTTTAGAAGAAATCTTTCAAATGTATTTCAGTCGCTGCTAGCAGACCATAGCCTGATCATTTGTTTCAAAAGATAAACTGTCGTCATTGCTTGTGAAGGAACATTTGTTAACCTTCACATTTCATAAAACACTTTCTTGCTCATTTTTTAATCATGAAAGATGAAATTGGATCTCAAGTTGTTATCGTTGCGGTATCACCTCAGTCTCCAGCTGTGTCTAGATGGATCTTTCAATACATTTCGTCTGAGCAAATAGATTTACCATTTGTTTCATAATCACAGTTCCAGCATTCCTACCTCTAATTATTTTTGATAAGCAAATGCTATTGAAGAAACTGCTTCTGGGACAGAGAAGCTTAGCATGCAGCTCAGATGGCTCCTCGCAGCCCCCACACAGCGATGTGCGTTTGTTCCTAGGCGTAATTAAACATTCACCAAGCTCCGGTTCACAGGGACAGTTTGGGTGTTGCATCAGGATTTCCCGGGAGGAACTGACAACTTAAATTTCACTGTGAAGTGCTGATGAAGAACGTGATTTTTACTCAGCATGGTGCCCTCACACGAGCAAAGGCGAGTCAGGCTCACTTTGACAGGAGCAGAACTGTCGCTTTTGCATGTTTGATATGTTGGTGTTGGGAAAGTTTTTCATCATTTAAACTGATTAGGACCTTAATTAGACTCCAAAGAAAGCTCAAAACCTGTGTTAAAAAATGATGGCGAACCAGTAAGAGAGAAGGGCTTTCTGGGAAGCCCTGAAGCTGTTCTCAGTGGATTTCATGGAAATTCTTTTCACCCAGCTTCCCACATATTTTGATCGGTGCTGCAACCTCAGCACAGCATTGGTGCCACAACCTCAGCGTGGTGT